TTAGTAACTCACGTTGGACTTACCGTTGAGATTGATGCATTGTAATTGGAAGTGGCTTCCTTTAGAAAAACGAAGACACATAAAACCCTTGCATCTTGAATGCCAAGGAGTTCTTCATACCTTTATATACACGGTAACTCAGTCATATCACACATTACCAAAGTTCTGTTATCTCCATTTCACAGAAAATGAAATTAGCCCTAAAAGTTGAGCTACTCTGCATCTGTTTCCATCAGTCACTGGATGAGAGTTCTATCATGACAGTTAGGGTGTTCGGCCATCCAATCACCAGAGTAGGTCAGCTCAGGCACTCTTTTGACAATGGCCAGTGGAGCTCCAGGAGTCCAATCGGCAAGAGAGAGGAGGGATTATATGAGCAAGAGATATTGAGACCATGATTGGAAAAAGCACAGGGACAAATAGCCAAACTAGTGGAAACACATGAACTGTGAACCAATGGCTGAGGAGCCCCCATGGAACTGGACCAGGCCCTCTGGATAAGTGAGACAGTTGATTAGCTTGAACTGTTTAGGAGGGCCCCAGGCAGTGGAGCCAGGACCTGTCCTTGGTGCATGAGCTGGCTTTTTGGAGCCTGGGGCCTATGCTGAGACACTTTGCTCAGCCTTGATGTAGGGAGGAGGGGACTGTACCTGCCACAACTGAATCTACCAGGCTGGGCTGACTCCCCAGGGGAGACCTTGCCCTGAAGAAGGTTCAGGAATGGGGGGTGTATTGGGGGAAGAAGGCTGGGGGGATGGGAGGAGGGAGAACAGGGGAATCTGTGGCTAATATGTAAAATTAAATTAATTATAAAATAAAAATATTTTTTAAAAAAGTTGAGCTACTCACTTATGTTCATCCAAGTCATAAGCCTTTCTAAATACGAACAATTTAGGACTTTCTGAGTTGTCAGTATCATGAAAAACAACACATCTTGAAAACCAATTCAAAGCCAGGCAGTAGTGGCACACATCTTTAATCACAGTACTCAGGAGGCAGAAGCAGACAGATCTCTGTGAGTTCAAGGCCAGCCTGGTCTACAGAGCAAGTCCCAGGACAGCCAGGGCTACACAGAGAAACCCTGTCTCAAAAAAAAAAAAAAAACCCTAATTCAAAAAGTCTGTTAGATAAGCAGATGGTTACCTAACAAAAACAGAACATATAATAGAATCTATTCTTGAAAATAAACACATTGATATTCAATTATATGTATAATACAATAATGTTTTTCATAAATAAACATCCCTTCAAATTAGTTAGATCTAGAACATGTGTAAACAAATGTATCATGAAGGACGTTACAAGAAATGATTAAATACAATAAATGCTGCAGGGATTTAGGATTCAAGAGTGAAGGTGTAACAGCAAGATGACTGCGTGACCTATCAGAAGACACCAGTTCTGATTCTGTTTCCACCTGTGCCCTTCCAGCTCCAAACCTTCAAGATCCCCAATTTCTCTGTGCTTCAAATTACTCACTTCAATACCATTGATAGTCATATGTTCCTTTCCTTAACGTTATATATCCATAAGTGCTTATGAAACACAATGAACTGCCTAAATAAGTAAAAAATGGCTATTTTCTCCTCCTCTCATATGCCCTGTTCATAATTCATGACACTTACACATATATTTATATGTATAAATACTTATATAGTATATATATATATAATGCTTATATATGTGGTTCTGATTTCTAGAGAACTCTAATACAACAGTTGTCCTAAAGAAATAATTTAGATTAATAAAAAATATAGAAAGCTATCAAAGAGACTTCAGGATTTATTCTCTATAATTTTTGTTTGTTAATTTTTGAATATTTAAAAAAGAGCAAATAACAGAGTGTATGTTTTGTAATGACAGCTTCTTCCATTATCTCAGTGAAAAGTGCACATCTAACACACCTATGTGGGCAATATGTTTACCATCGTTGGGGTAGCTCATTTTCAGGTTGCAGTCTGTTTGTTTAAGGTGTTCCATAAACCACAATACCTTCCCTTCTAGTCACCCTCTTGTCCAAATAATGCTACAGTCCACTCACTAAGGCACAGTTCAGTAGCCCTTCAAGACTAAAATGGCCAATTCCTCAATCTGAATATGGTCCCTTCTTTTAGTAATACTATTCATCACTTCCTGTCTCAAATTTCAATTATAGTTATTGTGTGTTTGTATTATTCCCATTCATAGAAATAACAATCCCCTGGAGGGTAGTGTTTACTAATAAATCATAATTTTTGCTGTAACCCGCTACAGCTCTTCATTTAAGTCTCCTGCATTTTAGCTGTGTTCTTTAGTTGGTGCCCTAACACATCCCATACATAATTTCTATCAGTGTACTGTCATCTTTTATAGATGATGGTCTGTCAGGGAAGACGGAGTAGATCCTGGCAGGATGAACTCAGTAGCACAGTAGACTTCATCTATCTAAAAAATGAGCTTGACTACTGGAATAAAACGATATTTTAAATGAGGGAATTTTATGAGTAGAGGTAGTTTTTTTGTTTTGGTTTGGTTTTTAACTACAGGCTTTGAAATGTGCACAGGTGACTCCACACTAACCAGGGGACTTCCTAGTTCTCACACAAAATGTTCTTGATATTAATCAGTGATAGAAACTGACTGCTAAAAATGTAACAAAAGCAGAATATGAGATCTGTGTACTCACCAAACATTTAACTTCAATGATATTTCTGTGCCCTGAATGAACAGTGTGTACTTTTCATCTAAATTCAGAATATTTCACAATATGTGACACAAAAAGACTGAACATCTTCTCGGGGTAAAAAGCAGAACCCGGATCTATTTTAGACCTCAGAATTTTGAAGTTGCAATTTAATGTTTGCCTTGTACATCTGGGGGAAACACATTAAAATGTTGTAGGTGGAGAACAGATGTGTTCTTGAGCCTAGTTCAACTAATTACATATTTTAAGTAACCTAAAAATTCTTATGATAAGTTTGTTAGAGAAGAAAATAATAATAATAACTCACTGTTCATTCAGTTCTTTGAGTCATTATGTACTGGTAAATGGTGTGTCGTGTGTTAAGTGTTGAGGACTTATTTATGAAGAAACGCACCTCCTAATTCAAGATTGTCTGTTGGGAGTGGACACATAAGCCAATACGACTGTTAAGTCACCATCTTGTCCAGTTGCTATTTCGGTTTCCCCTGCCGTTCCATCTCTTTTCCTACCTCTTACGTGAAAAGATGCAACCCGTTGTCTTTCTGACAACTGCTGTCCGGTTCAGCCTATCTGAAGTTTATATACGTCCTCATCCAGGAGCAGAAAGAAGTAAACTGAATCAGGTAGGGTCTGACTTGTCCTAGATGGGGGTTTCCTGGGATTGTGAGGGGTGAATCTTGATCCCTCTCTGAGGTTTAAGTAGCTGGAGGCCGGGAGGTAGCAGAGAAGAGGAAGAAAGAATAAGGTCAAACAAGTCACATATGAAAAAACCATAAGGAAACTTGATATTGTGTAAACTAATTAAATCCAACCCATGGCAAAATGGTGGAAAGAAATGTATTAGTTACTCAATCCCAATTGTGTTGGCTTTCTGATCCCAGAAGGGCCACAGGACTGAGCTGAGTGTCAGAATAAAGTAGCCAAGCTCCAAATAGGTTACATGGGATTGAGCAGTTGGTATATAGCAATTAGGCAACTAGAAAAAAAAAAAACACCTCAAAAATCCTTCCTCCATGATGGTATAGAATGTGCTGTGTTTTATTAATTAATTTTAGGTAGGTATACCAAGGGATTCAGAACAAGATGTTTTGATATTTTGAAATAAAAGGATAATAATTTCTATTTCTCTATTACCTAATGCACCAAATTCATAACCCTTATACTTAGACTAGATACAGATACAGATCTGTAAATACAGATATACTTGCAATAAATACCAAAGTAGAGGAAGTATTGTGTGCTAGAGTTTCTCACAAGAAAAAGTAGCTACCACATTTCTATAGTAAGGTGTATTTAGTCATGTTAGTATTTTCTAATTGGGATATGTCTTAAGCAACTAATGCTTGTGTTTAATAATCTGTTAATTTTGCTTGGCTAGTATCTTAGAATCAGATAGCTTTATAATTAATTTTATTCAACTAGGAGGAAAAAGTAGTATCTTAAAAGAGCTCTAGGATTTTTAATTATGTGAAAAGTATCATGAACATAGTAAGACACTCAATGTGTGGAGGTGGACATTCATGAAAACATTTAAAAAGACCACAAGCAACCCTGGACATGGTTGGTAAGCACAATCTGGCATCTCTTTGAATCCAAGTGGTTGTTGAGAATTTAGAGGATATGAAAATCGTAATAAAGATTTTAGTAGTTGAGAAAGTAGCTAGCTCAGTTGGTAGAATACTTGATCATATCACATTGACCAGGCATATTGGTGCATGCCTGTAACCCATCTCTTTGGAATTAGAGGCAAAAGATCAGGTGTTCAAAGAAATCCTTGGCTACATAGAGATTTCTAAACCAGCTTAGGCTCTGGACACTATCTAATGGAAAATAAAATGTTAGTAATTAAAGTTTGGCTTAGAAAATGCTGCCTTTCCTGTCTGACTCTTCTTGGTCAAGGTATCGTGAGTTTGTGGGTTGGAGGAATAGTACCACTTAGAAGCCTATTCCAAAATTAAAATTTTAATTTCTAGTATACTTCCCTTGCCTCAGTGTATGATTCCACACCCATGTACCTGTGGGCAGCATGAACTTGACTCAACAGATCTTTTTAAAAAGGATATGAAGTTGGAAGTGAGAAATGTTTGGGTAGGCAGGGGAAGTTAAGAGGGGGAGAAGAAGTATGGGTGGATATTATCAAGATACAATATATCCATGTGTGGAAATCAAACAAAAAATTAAAAATTAATCCAAAACAATTTTAAAGATGAGTCATGTCCCTGTTAAGGACTATTATGGGCCAGTATTTTGGAATCTTGAGATTTGGACTATTTTATAACTACTTGTATACAAACAGCTCAGAAAAGGTAGGTGATTCTTGCAAGGACAGTTTTATTTTGTCTTTTCATTTCTACACAAGAATTTGACTCTTTTGGTAACAATGGACTGAAACTTTTCGCTTTCTGGAGGAGAGTAGGTCAAACGCTGCGTATATAGACAACATATTTTCGGTATATTCTCTTGAGCAGCACTTTTGTAGGTCAGCATCCAGCACTCCAGGCCCTACCCTTTTGTCCAGTTCAGAGGTGAAGGATCTACAAGAAGTGAAGGGGAAGCAGAGGTTTGGGAAAGAAATGAGACATCAGTGGGGAGCACTTCATTGCTTCAGTGAGATACTTTGGTGCATAATCTCTTGCAGTCATTGCCCCCATTTTAAAGACGAAGAAGCTGAAACTGAGGAGTTTATACTCCTCAAGAAGTTAGTGATCAAACACTAAATAAGTAGAAACTTGAGTGTCAATTCTCTGAATTATAACTTACACATTGCCCACTATGCCATAAAACAGGCACCATGGCCATCTAATCCCAGTGAGAGTTTTTCGGTATATTCCAAGAAAACAACAGTTAATATTTAATAGATGGTTATACCACAACAGTTAAAGCATAGGACAGAGTGAGAGTCAAACACCAACTGGTTTGGACTAGAGAGAACCATGTTTCCTTTCCTGAACTCAGGAAGTAACAGTCTTCTCATTGCCAATGGAGATCACAGCTCAGTATCTGACTTTATTCTAAAATAGTTACAGTAATAAGGGTGATGGCCACTTAACCCAGCCTTGCCACTGCCGGGTGTCCCATGTCCTGGAAGGTTTCTTGTTTTCCATAGAGTTGGCAACCATCATGAAAACTGGCCAGAGCAAATCAAAGCTCATTACAGAGTTAAGGTAAGCATATTTATTTTAGCAAAATATACCCAACAAAAGCCCTTTGGGATAAGCGTCACTAAATGAAGTTTCTGGAACTCTGTGGGTTTTTGTTTTTTGGTTTTTTTTTTTCCCCTTGCCACAAAGTAATTCCCCAGTAATCAGTTTTGAGTGCTGACAGGCTTGTTTTCTTGTCGGTTTCCTATTTCTGACCCCTCTTGTTCCCTTCTTTCCGCAAAATAGAAATATTCCAAAATAATCCTTTCCAAGGACTCTGTCAGCAGCTGTAAAACCTCTAAACTTCTGGTTTCCCCTGACCAGCCCTCTGGTGAGGTCACTGTGAGGCTTGTGGCACATTTTCTAGTTGAGCAGAGCAGCTTCCCAGCTGGTGGAAAGTGTGAGGTTCTAGATGGGCCCCACAGCAAGGGTTTTAAACCCAACTGTGATGTTACCGCTAGCTGCACTGGAGCCCTGACTGCCGTGAGGCTTAGGTCACTTTGAACTAGGGCATATACTATGACAACTTATTTTCATGAATAAAAATTTTCATAATAAAACCTTTCATAAATAAAAATGAAATTAGCCGGGCAGTGGTGGCGCACGCCTTTAATCCCAGCACTTGGGAGGTAGAGGCAGGTGGATCTCTGTGAGTTCAAGGCCAGCCTGGTCTACAGAGCGAGATCCAGGAAAGGAGCAAAGCTACACAGAGAAACCCTGTTTCAAAAAACCAAAAAAAAAAAAAAAAAAAATGAAATTAAAGAACTTTTAAAAGATAAACTAGAAAAGCCTTAAAAATACCAGGAAAATTGCTTATTCTACTGATGAAAAACTAAAGGATATTCAAAGCCCAGAATTGAACTTTCATTTAGAAAAATATCGTGTTGCTATTATGTACACACACACACTCCACTCCATAGTGTGACCGAGTACTTCTTGGAGGAAGTCCTTGCTAAAATAGTTTATGAGACTCCTACTCCTTTTATTGAAAGGGTGTGTCCCAACGCTGCTGCTCATGGTGGTGAGTCAGCACTTTATTTCTCAGGTGCAGGTTTACCACACCTAAGGAAGTTTCTCTTAAAGGTTTCACTGTCCCTTTGTGTTTTATCACAGTGAACTGACTGGTGTCTTACAGTAAGATTAGTTAAAACCAGAGGTCAGATTTTAGTCTCCTTAAATAATAAAGAGTCTTTGTATTTTAATCCCAATTGTGTCTTTAAACTTTCATGTCCCTGACTCCTTAACCTGTTCCCAGCAGCTGAGAACAAGCCTTACACACACACTTAACTAGGATTGCTGCTCTGTATAGTTCTCTTCGCGAAAATGCACACACCCTGGCATTTTAATTTTCTTCAAAGCTTTACTTGCCTAGCATCCCTTTAGGGAAATATTTTACAATGATCCTGGAGATAACTGAGCAATCTCATCTCTGTGCCTTGTTTTTGTATCTTAGAAGGTGAAATGTTATTTTTCTTTTGTTTTATTCTGTGTCTCATCATTGAAAATTTTTGACTTTGTGTAATCACAAAGGTCACAATGTGCAGACTCAAGAGGCAGAGTTTTATTTCTTAGTCTCTGCCTCCTTGGACAGAGCTTTGATGTTCTCCTTAGCCTGAAAGGCCTCTCTTATCGTCTGGATTTGGATTACTGCCGAAGACTCGTGTGTTTAAAGCTAGGTCAGTATCAAAATGACTAGATCTTGAGAGTGCTAACGTCATCAATGGATTAGTCCATTGATTTCATTGATAAATTCATAGCTGACTGGGCTACAGTGAGAAGGTAGGGCCTAGGTGAAGTAGATCACTGAGGTATTACTTTGAGGGGTATAAATTGTCCCAAGCCACCCGCCTCTCTCTCTGCTATCCACCATTAGGTAAACCAGCCTTGCTCCATCATGTGTCCCCATTACAATGTTCTCTTTTACCTTGTTCCCCAAATTAATGGATCCGGATGACTAAGGCCTGAGACCATAGTAACTGTGAGGCAAGCTTTCCTTCCTTTAAAGCCATTTATCAGGTATTTAGTAGTCACCATGATTCAAAGCTGACTGACACAGGTTCTTCACCATGTTGCTGGATCGCAGATGTCTGGAGCCTCCCCATGGCTAGCCAGGAACTTCAACTGAAGGGTCCAGGAATATAGAAATCTAAAAGTATAAGCTTCAGAGATGGAAAGTGACAGTCATCCGCTCTAAAGGTTAACTGCTAACAATGGCTCTCTGCTTTACAGCTAGCCCCTCTGCCAACAGCCAGGGGTTAACTTTAACCCTCTCCTCCCTTGCCCCTTAGAGCCAACAACTGCCTGGACCAAAGTTAACTTTTAATAGTTGTTTCTTCGTGACTTATGGCATGCACCTCATGCCTGATGTTTCTATGTGACTCCTAGCATGCACTCCATTCCTAATGCCTTCCGAACCCCTACTATAAAAAGTGGCTTATAGCCCCCCTCCAACTGCCACAGCCTCAGAATCCTGAACCGTGGCTGTGGTCTCAGCTAGCTGATAAGTTTTTGTGCTCTGTGGTGAGTTTTTTATTTTTCTTTTTTCTTTGTTTTTTTTTTTTTTTTTTCTGGAATAAAGTTTGCTTCTGGTTTAATAGACTTTGGTGGTCTGTCCCCCATTATTGAGAGACCCTGAACCCAACACAACCTTCTTGCGTACCCCCAGCTTGTGGGTGTGTTCTATACAACATTAGACTCCTCTTGTTTGTGAGCACATTCCCATTCACCTTCAGGTACAAGTGGTGGTAAATCTTAGCCCTGTGGCATTCTCTGACTAGTCTATAAAGAGCCACATCTTCCTCCCAGGCATGTTACCTTCACCCACCTTAGGGTTCTAACTGTACCCTTTTACTTACCTAAGCCTGCATGCTTGTCTTTCCAGAAGCCAGGATCAACTTCTCCAGCATGGAACCCAGAAGTAGACAGTCAGAGGCTTGCACGGATTTGGCCCAGCACTGACCAGTTTCCAGATCTGCTGATAGAAGTTGAAACTGGTGATTTCATTAGCCCCCTGGGGATTCAAACAGATCCTTTCTTTTGCACTACTGAGAGGAGCCTGAAGGCAAGGGTCTTCTGATGTCTGTGTTCTCATACCTGAGGGCACAGCTGGGAAAGGCTTCTGTGTCCTCCCAGCAAGTGCCTTATCAGTCTGTTCTACTAGTTCGTACTCTCCCACTCTGTAATCTGACAAGATCCAGAACTCCAACCATGAAAACAATCAACCAAAAAATAGGAAAACGACATTACACAGAGTAGTCAAACCAATCCACTTATTAATTCAAAGGCTGAGGATAAAAGTCATCTTTACTTATTTATTTAGTTATTTTACATTATTTATTATAACCCTCAGCTTGGTATATGTCTTAGTTAGGGTTTCTATTTCTATGACGAAGCACCATGACCACCACAACTCATATAAAGGAAGGAATTTAATTGGGGCTAGCTTACAGTTCAGAGGTTTATTTAGTTCATTGCAATCACAGCATGAAGCATGCAGGCAGACACACTGCTGGAGAGGTAGCTGAGAGTTCTATATGCAGATCACCAGGCATCAGAAGAAGAGAGTAACTCTGGGCTTGACTTGGGCTTCCAAAACCTCAAAGCCAACCCTCAGTGACACACTTCCTCCAACAAGGCCACACTCCTAATACTACCACTCCCTAATACTACCACTCCCTATAGGTCTATGGGGGCCATTTTCATTCAAACCACCACATATAAGAGGCAAAATCTGAATTTTAACTGAAATTAAATTGAATCTGAACTTCAGAGATATACTCAGAGTTTGTGATCATGAGTTTAGCGGGTAACTATTTACCTCATTGCCACAGCCTACAAAACATGAGAGGCTAATTATAGAAAGTGCATACAAACCCTTCTATTCCTACACTAGAAATCCATTAGCTAAAGAATGTTAAAGCAAAAAAATCTCTGAGTATCCTGCACTGCTTTAAGTGTGTTCTGTGGGATACTGATATTTATTACATGAAAAGAGGAATTATACCAGGAAACAAATTTAGGAAACATAGAATTAAACTAAGTTAAGTATGCCTAACACTTCTTGGATGCTGATACTTACACATTTCTAGGATGTGACAGAAGATGATTTGTTTCCCAACATTATTTAACAGTATATTTTCATCTAGGAGCCTCTTGTGAAGGATGTTCATATAATTTATTGCCCATGCTAGCACAAGTTCAAGAGAGAGGGAAAGCTGTCATGAATTATGCTGCAGCGACTGTTTTGGACTGCAACTATGCAAGGGAAACCAGGATGGGAGAGACCTTCTGCTCTTAAGGGATGTGTTTACTTTGGAATACACTGAGAAAGCTACACTAAAGCAGTCATTACAAAACTTATGCTAATCCATATCCAATATTTGTATTTGTGCTGATAATAACAGCAAAGGGAGGGTCATAAAACCATCAAACATAATGACGTAATGATGTGCTTAAAAAAAAGAAAACTCAAGTGTACTCAACATTTCTATTGCTCTTTTCCTGAAACTGTTTAATTTAAATGATAAGATTATCCTGCTGGAGAGAAGAGCACACAGTGGAAATTCTCATTTAGCAGTTAAAATGATAATTAAAGAACACTGTCTTCTTGCCTGGAAGACATCTCACTCAGAACATGGAGACAGCAAGATCAACAACAGTTTCTTTCTCTTATATTTTGAGGATGGGCCACATGGTAAATGATTCCAACCGTAGGATGGTAACAGTTTTCAGGTTTCTATGCGATGTGCAAAGGCTTCAGCACAGAATCACCACTTAAAAGTAACCCAAGTTCCAGACTAGCCAGTTCCTCCAATCTCAGTGAGAGCAACGATTCAACAGTATGTGTTCAACAGACACCTTAACTTCTTTAAATAATGAGAGTTAATTCTAACAATAGTTAATTCAGCATACATGGCGTTGTTATGTCAATTTAAAATAACACAAAAATATTAATGAACTATTTGAATATTCCTTTTCAGAAATACTTGTGATTCCTGGTGTGTGTTTTACAGGTATAGCACATTGTAGTTCTGGCTGCCTGGCTCATGGCCACTGTATTGAAAGAGAGTTCTAGATTCCTTTAATACTTTCTGCTAGCCGTTCAGATGATTTCATATGTTCTTATACAATAATCCCAAGAAAATTTTCCACGTTACTTAAAAAACACAGGTGGAAATAGTAGTGGCTGACATTTCTTATTTTCCAAGTGACAGTCCCCTCCCCTGTTTTATAAAATAGAAATCTAAGGCTTCAAAAAATTAAACACTTGTCCTGGGCAAATAACTGTGCAACCAGACCAAGGCTGTGCAGTAGGTAAGAGCAAGAACGGTGTATCTGGGGTCTTTGCTTCAACTGCTTGCTCAAATCCTTGGTGGAATTAATTTTTGGCAGCGTATTTGTTGAATAAAAGCAACTGATTTCATCAATATAACAATACAGTAAACAAGTTAATGTAATGATCTGTCATAAAACTTATCATAACTGAGCTAAATCAATAACTGACTTCATTAGGTTTGTATTTAATTTGCAAACTTCTATAAGATGTTCCCAAAGGCCAAATCAATATATAATGAGTATTCATGCTTCAAAAAGTCAGCCAAGATAAACAAGTTTAAACTCTTTAGAAGATGATTGCAAAAAATGCAAAACTCTATAATTAATACAGGCTTTAGATGATTATGACACTTCAGGCAATTAAAATTGACATCACTAAAACACACTTTCTGAGAAAATGTCATAATGATAGCTAATACATACTAATTTAAAATTTTAATTTAAAAAAGGCTTGTCTCCTTAGTCCACTGTATTAAAACGTTTAGTGATAAAACTTTAAAAAACAATTTTACTTTAAAATTGCTCAAATAAAAAAAAATTGCTCAAATATACTCAAAAGAAGGATCACTATCATCCAATCCTGTAGCTTCAAAATTAAGAGGAAAATGACATTTCACTTTTTACTGCTATTTACCCTACCATGTTGTTTTAAAGCAAATTTAAGTTTTCTAATTACTAAATATTATATTTTTTGATGTTTTTAAAGATAACCCGAGGTACTGTGAAGTGTTCTCCAGAGAAGATTGCTCAGACGTGGGTTTAAGCCAATAGAGAATCTTTATTAGCCAGCTGATGACTGGGTGTTCAGGGTCTCAATGTAGCACTAAGCCTTTCTCAGGTGAGTTTTAAGTACAAAAACCATGTTGTGAGCTGACATACCTCAGTTAACAAGAACAGTTAGCTGGAAATGGAACTATAGAAGCAAAAAAATATGGTTAGTACTTTCATAGACTTTACCAGAACAATGGACTTGGGTTGTTTTCATTTTGGCAGGTGGTGGTGTCTATGTGCTGAGTTTTTTGGCATGACTGGTACTTCCATCATGGAGTCATGTGCTAAGGTCTGGGTCCCTGTTGCAATGGAAAAATCTCACACCTATAAATGACAAAAGATTTGTCATTGGTTTAATTAGTGAATCTCACTCAGTCTCAATTCTTCCTCATTGCCACTGTCCCAAGATATTTCCAGGTTGTAAAAATGTCAGTATTGGCAGGGAGGGGGAGACTGGGAGAAGGGAGGGGAAACTGCAGTCAGGATGTAAAATTAATTAATAATTTTAATTTAATTTTTAAAAATCTTTTTTTTTAAAATGTCAGCATTGCATTAGACCTTAAAAAAAATAGTTCTCAAATTGTTTTTGCAATCCTGGATCTGGAACTCAGGGCCTCATGAATGGTAGCTAGTGCTCTACCACAGAGCTACAGCCACAGCCCAAGACACCTTATTTATAAAGAGGCTCTTTGGGCTGTGTTTATGTAGTTTATACCCACTAATGTTTATACACAAATTAATACTAAGAATTTTTTCAATTTTTATTTCATTATGAAATAATAATAGCTAGTTTAAATATGGAATCCAAAACCTTCCATAAACCAGTTACAAATCAATAAAAATAAACAATATATTTATTGATAAATAGCTTAATTTCTAACATAAAAATAAGCCCCTCAGCCAGGCAGTAGTGGTGGTACACACCTTTAATCCCAGCACTCAGGGAGCAGAAGCAGGTAGATTTCTGAGTTTGAGGCCAACCTGGTCTACAGAGTGAGTTCCAGGATAGCCAGGACTACACAGAGAAACCCTGTCTCGAAAAACAAAATCAAAACAAAGCAAAAATAATCTCCTGGGTAGAATTGGTTCACACTTCTGTAGCACAAATTCTAGATATCAGGGTGAAAGCTGAAAGATCAGAGAAGCAGAGCAGCCAGCCACTAGTTCTTACCTCTACGCAATCCTCAGCCAAAAGGGCTATCAGCTCCTGTCTCTTCCTGCCATATACTCATCTCTCTGCCCAGGCATATCATTTCTTATTTCCACCTCCCTATTGCTGGGATTAAAGGCATGAGATCCCAAGTGCTGGGATCAAAGGTGTGTGCCACCACTACCTGGCTGTTTCTCTTTTAGACAGAATTAATCTTGTGTAGCCCAGGGTGACCTTGAATTCACAGAGATCCCTCTGTCTCTCGAGGTCTGGGATTAAAGGTGTGTGCCAACACCACCTGGCCTCTTTGGCTAGCTAGTGGCTGGCTTTGCCCTCTGATCTTCAGGCAAGCTTTATTTGTTAGAGCATATACAGAATATCACCACACACTTTTTCAAATGTCTTTAATGTTCACTTAGTAGAATTTGTTTGGAGTATCTACTGCATTTCATCTGTTAGAATATATTGTTTTGGCTTAAAAATGTGAAACAGTATTTCAAAAAAACAACAATACAGGCTAAAAGTAGTGAAGCAAACTGAATGAGGAATTAGGTAGACAAAGGTTTTCTCTGCTGATTGCTGATTAATTTCAACAGAAAATGGTACAATTATATGTGCAAAAGCCCCGTGTACTTCACCTTCGCCAAACAGACATCCACAAAAAGACACCCAGATACCATGCACTCCTGAGCTCTCCATGCTGAGATCACAGCATGACTTCTGCTCTTCTGTCAAAGGGCTCCTTACCTCCACCTTATCACTAGGAAACTGACCTCAAAGGATATGTAAAACAGTTGTTCTAGAGGGCTGGAGAGATAGCTCAGCAGTTAAAGAGCACTGACTGATCTTCCAGAGGACCTGGGTTCAATTCCCAGCACCCACATGGTGGCTTACAACTGTCTGTAACTACAGTTCCAGGGGGCCCAGCACTCTTACACAGGCATACACAGAGGCAAAACCACCAATGCACATAAAAAAAAGAAAGAAAGAAAAACAATTGTTCTAGACAGAAACATTAGTATCATGGAGGACAAAAGAAAAGGAAGACAGGAAACAGTTCTAGATTAAAGGAAGGAAAGTGAGACCTGGAAATTAGTTACCATGCAGGCTCCTGAAACAGACTTGGACAGTTAGTGAATTTTGAATATGTATTCTACAACAGACAATTACACTAGGTTAGCACTAAGTTTTGTGAAATTTGTCACTGTATTATAGTTTTCTAAGAGAATATTCTTATTCTTAGTAAATGTTGATTTATTTTCAGGCAAAGAAGTATAATATCTATAGCTATCTTTCAAATGGTTTGCAAAAATATTAATATGAAAGTACAATGATAGAAAAAAAGGAAGAGGGGGAGGAAAGGAGGTAAAGAAACATATTTTGCTAAAAGAAATTACCTGGTAATTTTCCTACAAAGTTTACAAGAATTTCTTGCAATTATTACAGTAAGTCTTCAGTAGAAATTTTACTTCAAGCCAGGTGTGGTAGCTCCTATCAGAAATCTTGCTACTTGGGAAGCTGATGCAGGGAGCTTGCCACATGTAAGTTCCAGGCCAGCCTGGGTTACAAAATGAAAGCCTATAACATATATATAATACGTTTGCATTTTAAAGAACCTGAAAATAATAATTGTTCATTTTAGTAATCAGCTAATACTTTTTTCCTTATAGAAGTAAGTAAAAACATTATTGACTAAATCTGTCCAATGCCTTTCTAAAACTTCCCATTTTAAAAATGTAAAACAAGGAGATGGAAGTATGAGCCCGAGATAGAATGAACATAATTCTGTTATTCACTAGCACTTCTTCTGAACTAAAGTCGCTTCATAACAACGTAAATTTGGCTCACAGTCCAAGCTGAAATCTACCAGGTCCTAACAATCTTTTAAACATCTGGGAAAAAAATGAAAAATAGAAACATAGAACCTTTCATTAAGAAAATTTCAGATTATCAAGTCGGAGTTTTATATTAATGAATTAAAAATAAAATAAGTGCACACAATTTGCTACCTACATAATGAGTATTGCTCAGCTTCATCCAATAGAAGTATATAACTTAGGCCACATGTATAATTTATAATATTCTAATAGACACATTGAAATAAACTAAAGAGACATCTAAAGTAATTTATTAATATGTTCTATTTAAACTATTAAAAATATTATTTCAAAATTGAGTAGATAAATACAGAAACATTACTATTTTACATGATTTTTGTGCTGTCTTAAAGCTCTGACTTCTATTTTATACTTCATTCGCATGAAACATGAAACATGTCTCCAGTATTCAAAAAGCACATGTGGCCAGTGCCTCCTGTTTCATACACAGTAAGTATGAATAATGATGGTAAAAATTCTCCCATGAAATGGCACAGTAGCAGTGTGTGTCTTAGAAACTGGATCCATATAGCCTTTCACAAATCTAATCCAAATTCCCCATGGTCTCACCATCTTGTGGATACAAATGAGCTTTTGTTAAATAGCAACTGCTAAAACTTAATGAGCTCCTTCATATTTCATCAGAAATATACTTTCTGGGAATTTCTGTTGCGAAATTCCCCTTTACCCCAACTATACCTTCGAAGTTTCCTGTGGATCTTTTTGTGATGAAAACCAATCTTTCTCCCAGCCACGGTTGAAAAGTCCCTTGAAGGTATGCATTATCACTGATGAAAGTTATGTCTCCCGGACATCCTCAGGACCAAAACCGACACCACGTTTCACAGCCCTCCGCGCCATCGCTGTAACGTGTTTTGATCCAAAATGTAGAAAATGCCCCGTTCCTAAACCTCCTCTGCCATCCAGATTCGACCCAAAATGCCTCTCCCAGGGGCTCTGATTTAGTGCAAGACCAGGGAAGAGCTAGCATATCGTCCTCCATCACAATTATTACTGAATTTCAGGATCCGGTGGACTCAACCTCTCTGGTTGTAGCCCAAACAAAGGTTTTCAAGCCGCCTGTCCCACAAAAAACCATCTTCCTAGGCATGCCCTGCCACTTTTCAAAACAGGCCAGTGAGCATACACACAAAGGCTCTGGGATCCTCCTAGTGAGAAATTTGCTCACTCGTACTCATTGCCACTCTATTCACAATAGCCACGGGATACCGATGAACAGTTAATGAAAACATGATACATATGCACAATGGGATTTTACTCGGCTATAGGAAAAAATGAAACTAAAAATTTCAGGACAGATGGATGGAATGGGGGAAAATTACACTGAGTAAGGTAACCCAGGCACAGAAAAACAAATACCACTCGTTCTTTCATATGAGGGTCCTAGCTTCAAACCTTCAATTCTGTGTGTCAGTTCAGAGCACTTGTAGATGCCAGAAAAGTGGAAAGAGGCCATTGAGAGGGGAATGCTGTAATGGAGGGGTAGTAATAGAAGGTAGATAATAGAGAAATGGAGATTGGTAATACCGAGGCAGGAAGCTTTAAGTGAAAAGCAGTTGGGGAATGGGGAGACGAAGAGGTTGCAGGGGGTAAACCTAGATGAAGGGGCACAAAAAGGCCGTGTGGAGCCTACTATCATGTAACCAAAGTTAATAATTCATAATACAAAAATATTTTGAAGGGAGATAGCCTGCATGGCTGGAAGAAACTGCTCCAAGAAGCCTGAGGTTATTGAACAAAAATCCCAGTGCCAGCGGCGTTGGCGGAGCGTGGGTCGCGTGGCAGAGCCGGTGCCATGCCATGGTGAAGCCGTGCCCTGAGTGGGTGTGGCCACCGAGCTGGGGCCCGACCCCGGCCGGCTGCTCCTGCTGGTCATGCTCCGGCCTTTGGTGCTGGCCCCCGGCTCCGCTTCTGGTTCGCCACTTCCCCTTCTCCGGTGAGGCCTAACACCTGTAGTTATTGGTTAGGAAGTCCCATAGGCCCCCACAGCAAGACAACCTCTTGCCACTTCTCTTGGTCTCCCATCAGAACTAAGTAAGACCTTACAGCTAAAAATACCTTGGTTGCACGACAGAGAGAAATCAACCTGAACTGAGCAAGAAGCTTCTTCCTACTGGCTAGCTTTCACAGTCCCAGAAAATACTACGCAGGCTGCTGGGGGAGAGAGAGCATCTATGGTCTTACCCAGTTGTGAACCTGTGATCGTCAAGACCAACCTTGCAGACAAGATGTACAACCGTGGCATTGGTGCCAGGAGGAATTGCCAACTGCTCTCTGACGAGATCTGAGGCTGGCTCGCAGGAGGGAATCCATCTGTGTTACTAAAGACCTGGTCTAAATCCCATAGCAGGGGAGATCATAGGTGGAACTGAATACTAATGCTTAGCTGTACTGACATAGCATCAAGCTGCCTTCTATGTGTTTATAGTTATACCAACAGAAAAAAAATCTGCTTTCTGCCTTAATCAGGGCAACCTTTCTTTCCAGGGAATAGTGAGGAATGCAGGGGCTCATGGCTGTACAATTGTGCTGAGAAAAAGTGATGATGTTCTGCCCTAAACAAGACATTTGTACTAGTCCCTCTAAGGTTCAAGAAACACTGCAAAAGAAGCATAAGAAAGAATGTTAGACCCAGAGGATAGGGAGAAAGGATGTGAAATGGCATCTTCTGGGCATCATAAACCCAGCAGCAGCAGATGCCTGCACTGGATCTGAGCAAGAGTGGGTCTGTTAATAGTAAGGACTAGATTAAAGCAGGTGCTCAGGGGTCCTAGCCCTCCCTGATGGTTTCCACGGATAAATTCATGGAGAGAGGGAAGTATTATCTTCAATAGTGTGTCCACTGGTGACCTCACTAGTCTCCAGAGGATAGTTCCAGTCCAATAGTCACATAAATGTCTCTGGTTAAACAGGATGGGCTGCAAAAGGACTGGTCAGAAGGATGGTTGATTTGGATGGGAGGAAGATTTAAAAGCAGGGGAGTGACCAAAACGCATTACGTACATGTTTAAAATTATCAAATAACAAACTAACTAAATAGGCTGAGTAGGGAATTATTCTCAACTTAAGATAACAAAGAATTCAGAGACACGTGGCACTGTACCTTACTTTGGGTAGCAATTTTCTTGAAACATAGAAAAATTGAAAACTTCTATATTGATACCTATGAAAATATTTTATGGGCTAATAAGTACTGCATATGCCTGGGGAAACGTTTCCAATTCAATTTCTTTCATTTTTCAAACAGATGTGTCCTGGCCAGACTTGAGCTGCATTCAGTCTGATTGCATACAGCGGCAGACCTTCCAACCCCTATTCTAGCAGACTTATCATGACACTAGTTGTTCGCAAAGTCTGCTCATTTGCAGATTGATCTGGAAAAATATTTTTTTAAGGTAACAGTTATTTTGGTTTCTCATTTTATGGAGAGGGAAAAAACAAACACCACCAAAACAAAATCCAGAGATTTGAATAAAGGAAGCTAAATCTAAGCCTGTATCACAGATGGGTTGCACTCAGCATTTTACATATGGCACAGAAAGAGCCTTGCACATTTTGTACTGTTGTAGATGTGGATGAGGAATAAAATCAAAACCATTGGTTACTCTGTATATTTACTTCTGAAATGTAGTAAGAACATGGTCTTTTCTGGCATTTTAAAGAGATGTATAAGAGTTTCATTTTTGTTTGTCTATTTTTTTTTGGGGGGGGCGTGCATTGAGACAGGGATTCCTGTAAGACAATATGAACTCATTATATGACTAAAGATAACCTTGAACTCCTGGTCATCCTGCCTCTATCTCCCAGATACTGTGATTATAGGTATGCACCACCACACCCAGCGTTATGCCAATGCTTTCCTAAATGAGCTGATGAATTGCTCTACCATTCTGTCATCACATCATTCAGGAGCTTACTTAGCACCTACAGTATACCAAGAAGGAAGCTAGACTCCAGAAATGCATGCTTCCCTGCTCTCAAGTTGCTTATGGAGGGAACTAGGAACCAGTAAGAGGCACCCTTTCAAACCTGTCCACTGCAGAAGTGCACAAAGAAGAGAACTCTAACCCTGACGAAGCTTCCCGGAAGCAAGGTCACCTAAGACAAGACATTAAATATGAATTGGACATATTTTGTCAGCTGGACAAAAGGGTGAGGAAGGAAGACAAGCAATGCTGAGGTGAAGAGTCAGAGGCAAAGGGCCTCAGAAGTCCCAGAAGGATAAAAAACAAAAAAACAAAAAAACTTGTTCAAAGAATTGAAGATTTTGTGGGAGGAAGGAGACAGGTGATGTGTGTATGAGACAGATCAGGAAAAGCCTTGAGGAATGTCAATGAACTGGGCTCCATCATGAAGGGGATGAAAGATAGTAACATATCTGTGACACAATCTGATTGGCATCTCAGAGAGTTCCTCTGACGGCAGAATTGAATATGATTCAGAGGAACAGGGAAGATCCATTACTTAACAGCTGCATTATTTCAATAACAAAAGCTAGGCACCTGATCCAGATCTTGATGATGAAGGCTCACTAGGGAAAAAAAGGCAGCTTGAGTAGGCCATGGTTACTGAGGTCCAGGCAAGGGAGCGCCTGAACATAAAGTAAGAGCAAGGACTGTGTTTGTGAGGGAGGGTGCTGCTCACCCTCCATTTACCACTGTCAGGTGGACGGGCACATACAATAGGTCTGAAGCAACTGCAAATTTGGTAAATGGATGGATGAATGTGGATCTATTTCCTGAATGCCTGACCACTTGCACTTAAGCATGAGTGTGTAATGGTATTTGCTCAAAAGTCTCTGCTTCTACCCAGTTGTGTGCTGAATTACTTGAACCCACTGAACTCTAGTATCCATTCTCAATTAGTCATTAGTCACCTTGTCACGATGTATGTTCCTCCTGAGCAGGGTTGCTACATGTCTGTGTCATTACATCCTGCTCACCTCATTCCTCGTGCCTTACCTACATTCCTCCCTCACCCAGAAACCCCTGACTCACTCTGTTTCCTCTCTTCCCAGACTGCCTTGCCTTGGTGCCATCTCTTCTAAAAAGCCTTTTGTGCGTTGCTTTGTTTTGTTTAGTTTCATGTAGGCCAGGCTGGTATTGAACTCAACTCTGTAGTCGAGGATGATATTTGTTTATTTAAATATATCTCTATGATGGTGATTTGCAAATGCCAGCCCACAAACTGTTGATGATAAATTTTTCTTTTGCCCATGGTAAAATGAGATCAGTAAGGAGAATGTATTAGGGTTTTTTTAAAAATAAATAAATGTAAAAAATAAAGATCTTATTTATGCAGTTCAAACAATTGGTGTTTGTTCTGTATTGTGTAATTATTAAAAAAAGCCTACTTGTAGTTGGGCTGTACTGACACACATCTTTAATCCCAGCACTCGGGAGGCAGAGGCCAGGAGGATCTCTGTGAGTTCGAGGCCAGCCTGGTCTACAGAGTGAGAGCCAGGACAGCCAGTACTACACAGAGAAATCCTGTCTCAAAAACAAACAAACAAACAAACTTGTTATGTTGTTAAGTTGTTTTTAAGACAGAGTCTTACTATGTAGCCTAGTCTGGATCCCCTGCATCAGCCTCCCAATATTGCATACACTATTAGCAAAGCCCTGTCACTTCAATAACTATGTTGTTAAAGAAATAAAAGCATGCGGTGGTGGTGGTGCACACCTTTAATCCCAGCACTTGGGAGGCAGAGCCAGGTGGATTTCTGTGAGTTCGAGGCCAGCCTGGTATACAGAGCGAGATCTAGGACAGGCACCAAAACTATACAGAGAAACCCTGTCTCTGAAAAAAAAAAGAAAGGAAGGAAGGAAGGGAGGGAGGGAGGAAGGATGGGAGGGAGGGAGGGAGGGCGGGAGGGAGGGCGGGAGGGAGGGAGGGAGGGCGGGAGGGCGGGAGGGAGGGAGGGAGGAAGGAAGGAAGGAAGGAAAAAAGAAGGAAGGAAGGAAAAAAGAAGGAAGGAAAAGCGCACTACTCTACATACCATATTTTGCCTTCTAATGTAAGCATTTGAGTTTGTTTTCAGACTTCTTTCCTATATGCATTTGAGGTAGCTGTTCTTATGATGAGCTTCTTTGCAAAAGGATTGTTTGAAACTGTAGTGTAGTCATATGTCTGCACCTCAGAATGCCTTGTGCTAGATGACCAACTGCAATGGACACGGTGACCCATCACCCAGCTCTTCACTCCAGAACTTGTTGTTCCAGATAATTGAAGGATCATTGGCAAATAGTTTTCAGTTGCCAGTACTTTCAGGATTCCTCTGGTCTCAGATAGACCCTTTGTTCAAGGCTGTGCCCCTCTTGGCTGCTGGCCAATCATTCATTAATGATTACTGCCATCTTGAGAATGCACTGAAGGACCATTACGTCTCCAGAGAGTCCCCTGGATGGACCAAAACTATTGTTGGATTTGTTTCATTACTCAAGGCCAACTGTGATCTCCTCCTGCTTCACTCTCCTCTCTTCCACAGTATAGATTTTATGGTCACTCTTCTATCTCAGAATTGACTTTCTATGGAATACAACCTGCAGTGTGAACTTTTTGAAATTCAAAACTATGTTCTTAATGAACATTATTACACTATATTTTGAACATAGTAGACACTTGATTCAGTGAGACAGGTTAACAAAGGAATATGCTCTTACTTGAACCCATAGTTCTCCTTAAGGGAAATAACAGACTAAACAAACATAGGTTTAAAACTTCATTGTGTGTCCTCATTGTGACTATGTCACAGAAATTCTACTGTAACATTGTTTGACTGTTATGTTGGATTTATACACTGATATATAATTTAAAGTGTCAAAAATGATATGCCATATACTTAAAAAGGCTTGTGAGTCTTAAAAAAAAGCCCTCTAGTATATAAAAAGAAAAACTCATAGAAAAATTGGAAAGTTCATACAAATCTTAGAATAGAAATGAGGGTACCTTTGTTTGCTTGGTATCATAACCAAAAGGAGCTTAGACCACTATCCCCAGATAACCACCAAAACCACTGCTGGGATAAATCAGTTTCTCCTTTGGTTTGGGACTAATGTCTCCTTGTAAAACTCAAATTTCATGGAAAAGTGTCTGCTTGGCTGACTTGGGTCACATACCCACCTATTTAAAGATATACTTCTCTTCCTGTATAGACATTTCTTACCCAGACTACATGCAACAAAGATGGCAGTTAAAGTGTTCCTAGAAAGATCAGGGTAGACACTGATGAATCTGCCTGCCTTCCACAAGTTTGCCGGGCGACATGAGCAAAATACATTCCAAGACTCTTAATAACATCCCAACATGCTCGCTCCCAAGATGAATCGAGGCAGCCTTGTAGCAGCCATTGCCCAGGAGACAAAACCAAATGTCTACACAGAGTCACATATTCCTCCACAGCAGGCAAACCTGTGTTCCTAAAATAGGTCTTTATCAGATGGACAAACAGATAGAAAACAGAGATACTTAAATTTTATCAACTAAACCCATGAAAAAACATGAGGACACATGCTTAAATTATTGAGGTTAAAATTGTGGGTTTTGATAATGGTAATTTTAATCATAAACCTAACATTTATTTTTGCTGCAATCATGCAATATTTGTATCATTCATAATTCTATATAGACTCAGGTGACTTCCTGACATAAAATTACTTACTCTAACTTGCTTACTGAATTTATTCATATACTTGGTATTAGGAGTACCAGATAAAGTATACAATATCCAATTAAACTTTAATTTTTTTAAAGATGTATTTATTTATTATGTATACAGAAGAGGGTGCCATATCTCATTACAGATGGTTGTGAGCCACCATGTGGGTGCTGGGAATTGAACTCAGGACCTCTGGAAGAGCAGTCAGTGCTCTTAACCTCTGAGCCATCTCTCCAGCCCCTTGAACTTTAATTTTAAATCAACGGAAAATAATTTTTTTAAGTATAAACTCTCCCAAACTCAAAAGGGGACGTACTTAATACTAAAGACTATGCTGTTTTCTATTTGAAATTTACATTACATGTCCTGCTTTCTTGTTCTCAATCTGGCATCCCTGTTTTATGATACATACATGACACTTTTTATGTAGCATTCATTTTCCTGACTGCTAGTAACCACAGCCTATTTTCCTCTTAAAAAGCTATCTACTGCTTTAGAAGTGTGTGTAGTATGGGCAGAACTAACCAAGATCCCAGGATGCATGCCTTAAGTTTTATCTACGAGAACATTGCAAGTGGCCTGCAATGGTGAATAGGTTAGTAACCAGCATGTACATGTTACAGACAAAGAAAGCCTGAGTTCAGACTCTTACTCTACAAACAGAAAAGAGAAGTATTTTCTTTGTTTCTTCAAGATTTTATTTGTGTGTGTGTGTGTGTATACACATATCCAGTGAAGCCATAAGATGGCATTGGGTCCTCTAAAGCTATAGTTACTGGATGATGTAACCACAGAACACCAGTGCTGGGAACCGAACTCAGGTCCTATATAAGAGTAGCAAGTGATCTCAACCACCAAGCCATCTCTCCACCCCTTGAAGAGAGTTTTTCTTAGTGTTGATGTTTGTCATCTTGTTCCTTTGTTTTTATGAAATAGATGGGTAATTGTAAATCCTGGAGCTAGTTGGAGTTGTTAGCATATGGGGAGATCCTGCTTGTGAATCCAAGATACATAGAAAAATACTGACAGTTGGGTATAAGAACCAATAGACTAGGTTCACCTTCTTTTATTTTTAAGCTACACTAGTTGTACTTAGATATCCCCCAGCTACACTCATGAATCTCCTTAACAAAGATATTTTGAGAAACTAAAAATACATACAATAGGGGTTGGGGATTTAGCTCAGTGGTAGAGTACTTGCCTAGCAAGTGCAAGGCCCTGGATTCAGTTCTCAGCTCCGGGAAAATAAATAAATAAATAAATAAATAAATAAATAAATAAATAAATAAATAAATAAATAAATATATATACAATGATATTATTAAAGAGAAAATTGGAGGGGCTAAGGACATAGCTCAATGGTAGAAGTACTTGCCCAATATGCCCCAAATCCTAGGTTCAATACCCAGGCCTCAAAAACAGCCACAACAAAAGGAAATCAGAACCATATCCAGGACAACAATGTAAACCAATGCTGAAGGTAAACATAGCTGACTGTTTTCTAACACATGACATGTTGCATTGATAATACGTGAAATGCATCTTAAGTACACATAACAACTTTTTCATGTCGGTGATTTTAAATTACTGTAATAAAAAAAATTTCAATGTATCTAGCATACCAAACCGAAGACTTTTTCAAAGGTATTTGTTAGTATAAACAAAGATTTTTGTTACACAACAAATTGCTCTTTCAGGTATATAAAGACAGGCCAAACGTTGCGAAGGTATTAAAAAAAGTGATCAAAAATTTAAAAGTGCTCACGTCATTGTGCATCAGATTTTGCTGTTAGCATCCTGGCAGACAGTAATACGGTAGGCAATAGGGGAGAGACACAATGCTTTATAGCTATTAACAGAAAAGAAATCATCCCAATGCTGCTGGAAGGCCCACTCACTTTCTGCAACTAAATTTCAAAACAAGTATCTTATTTTGCACTTTTACAGAGAGGGTGTTAACTTATATTACTCTAGAATATCCCCCATAATGGCATTATAAAAAGATAAAAATAACCTGTATAAAGGTGAATTTAATAGCAATTATCTATTAAAGTCCAGAATGTTTAAATTATACCTTAGTGCGTTTTGGTTCTATAAGAGATGTAAGTTAATGTGGTACAGCCATGCAGCCTTCCCGGGATGTAATTCAATGAAAAAAAAAAAGACAAACTTAGGCTACCTAGGGAATCCAGGGGAGAGCACCTCAATTGAAAACTTCTGTAAAGGCTTCATCTCTTACTGGGTTTTGAAAGTAGCTAAATAGGGTGTAATTAGGGGTTTTGCTATTTGTGGGTCTTGGAATGCTGGTATTCTATATTGGTAATTGAGGACAGACACATGCGCTTTGGAAATCAAGAGAACAAAAACAATTACTGAAGATAAGAAAAAGGCTTTTTTTTTTTTTTTTTTTTTTTTTTTTTTTTTTTTTTTTTTTTTTTTTTTTTGTCAGCTCAGAGAGTTCTGTAGCAAGTACAGTCAGAAGTCTTTCCTGCTAGGTATAATACAAACATAATGTCTTTTAGAACAGAACATAAACTGTGAGAAAGCTGGGTGCAATAGATCTTTTCAACTAGGGATTATAGGAACCATTGGGAAGAGGGAAAAATAGGGTCGAGTTGTTACAAAAGAATAAGTTAGATGATGGAACCCCAGCAAGAGGCAAGGACGGGAACGACCAGCAGCGGGCCTTGTATGAAATATGTTAAAAATAGGGTCGAGTTGTTACAAAAGAGTAAGTTATATGATGGAACCCCAGCAAGAGGCAAGGACGGGAACGACCAGCAGTGGGCCTTGTATGAAATATGTTGGGAAGGAAATGAAAATAGCTTAAGGAAGAACAACTGCAAACAGAACCTAAGCAGCATGAACGATGACAGGACGTATCAGGGTGGACGCATCTAGAGAACCTACGTCCTTGGGACAATGCTTGCCTTATTCAGGAAGCAGGAGTGCCTTGTTTGCTATTTTTAGGTAGAAAGTAGATTCACTCATAGTCTTGATTTCAATAAATGTGATGATCAAGGGGAAGGGATGCACTGTTGAGGTTGTGAAATGGTTGAAGAAATGTTGACTGTAGAAAGGTTGATCACAAAAGCAGTTGCTCTGTA